TCGAAAGGGTAAAATGGGTTTTTCCTAAAACCGACGTCTATAGTTTTCTTATAATTGACGTCAACAGCGCAGGAGCTAACTGAGAAAGCCACTCAATAAAAGCAATTATGCAATGTTTGCATTATAAAATATACCACATAGGAATATGAGTCCTCTGTTCGAACCAAAATAATTATAATAACAAACGACATTTTTTCATTTAGAGAATTAACAACAAGACGTTTTGCGGGACGTGAATGAATCCAATTTATCTGCATTTCTAAAACACACCCACCAGAATTATCTGGATCTCCAAGTCCGCTTAATGCCAAGAGCGATAAGGATATGCAACATAGATATCATTAAATGTCATTAAATAAAAATTCAGAAGAAACGAAGTAAACGATTTTGAAACCAACGCAAATCCTAATAACAGAAGTCTCCCATCGAAGACTGGAACGTATTTTTACTCAGGGAGAAAGAGCAGGAACTAGTTAATAAGCCCACAAAGTACTAACTAGACATAGCTGATCTCTCGCCAGCGGAGAGCCTGGGATCTGGAATTCTGAAATAATGCAAGTGAAAACTGTTCTACTTAGGTGTCGACTCTACGAAGCGCGCAAAGCTCAGTGTTAGTGTTCTAGCAGAGCTCAATCTGACTGACAGAATCACTGAATGGAAGTCTGTCAGCGGTAGAGTGGCTTCTGACCCGAGGCTACAAAGGCTAAAGTTTAGACCTTGTTACAGGTCAGCTTGGAAAGAGAACATGAGTCCTACCTTGAGTCACCATGTGCTCTGTATGAAATGCCGACTACGGAATCCATCATTCTAACAGGCGATTTTAATGCGCCGTCAGAGCAGATACTAAAAAAGTGGAAAGACGCCACTGGAAAGAACGGCACTAGCGACCTCAACAATAACGGTAAAAAGTTGTTGCGGTTTTAGGCAAAAAATGGACTGTCCACTATTAACTTCTTCGAGCATCGAAGCGTCCATCCATACACGCGGTACAGAGAAGTTCATCCACAATAGTCGATGACAGATTTTATAATCGCATCGATTAATTTATGAAGCTCAACAATGAATGTCAGCGAAACGCAGAGGTGTAAACTTATCATCAACTTGTTGTGGGCATCCTCCGCTTAAACGACGGATAAAAACGTGAGGAGTGGAGGCAGAAACAACCATTCAATCAGATGAGAAACACCATCTTCTGCGAATATGATGGCAAACTTGCAAATACCCATGGCACTACGGCTTGAACAGATCTCAGTGATGATGGATGACGTGGAAACCGAGAAACAGCTCAATAAAATGTAAGATATAAACTCAAGGATGCCGCCGAATGCTGCAGTTTAGAAGGGCTGGCTTGCTAAATGGAGGTCAGAAATGAACTTTCCAGCGGACACAAGAGGTTCAGCTGTCTGCCATCAAGAAGAGAGATATATTCAAGTGGTGGCCTGGAAGAAAAGAGCCATCAACTCAAATGCGGTACGAAAAGCACGCATGGCGGAAAGAAAGTAGTGGCGTAAGCGAAAGCTGATTCTTGGGAAAGTTTGGTGAGGTGCCGAAATCAAATTTTGAAACGGCAAACAAGATATTCTTGGAGACCACAAGCCGCCTTGGAGATGGAAAGAAAGTCAGTGTAAGAATCCTAAAGGACAAGTCCGGATGTCCTTTAACCAAGGATGATGATATATTTCAGCGATGGAGAGAATACACTGAGGAAATCCTTAACCATGAACAATTGTAGGCAGACACTTCGGAAGAGTAGCGAGAAACGGGTAAGAGACTCTCAACAGAATAAGTCAAAGAACTTGTAAAAAGCTTGAAAAGTGGCAAAGTTGCTTGAATCAATGAAATCCGCCCGAACAATGTAAGGTTTTAAACGAACAAGGCATGTCGCGACGAACATGTGTCTGTCAAATTGGAAGTGCTACGGAGAAAACACAAGTGGACTGGAAACGAGGGTTGTAGCACCCTTGTCGAAGAAGGGAGCATATGAGGAATGCTCTCCTTATCAGGATATTACTGTGCTGAGCCTCCCGAGAAAAGTCTACGCGCAGGTGTTATAAAGATGCCGCGGAATAAATGATTCTAAGATACAAGAGCAACAGATCAGGCCGAAGCACCTCTGAGCACCTCACCAAGCGTGAGCGTCAGATTAAATGGCGTTAAGTCGAGACCTTTCAGCGCTGGTATGGTCTCTGCCAATGCGGCGTCAATACCTCACTTCTGCTTTCGTCACAATTGCGCAGAATAGTCAGGCGCAGTCAGAGCGACAAGCCTCTCAGAGTAGGAGATTTAAAGACGAGAAGAATGCCGTTTGCAGACGAC